GCAGACTTCTGGGCAAACCGCGCGCGCGGTTCAGATGAAGGACGCGAAGGACAGGGGATGCGAGCCAGCGTCACAGGCCACAGCCCGAGGATGGGGGACTGAGTTAGCTGAGGCGGGTGCTAGAATAGCCATGCCCAGGCGCTCCATTGAGAATAAGGTGCTGTAAGGATACGGAATTGTAAAGGCATAGAGACGCAGCGCAACGTACTTGCGCTCCCCGCAGAGCTTTTCTCTTCACCCACACCACAGAGAGCCAGGAAGGATGGAGAGATTGCTTGAAGTTCCAGGGATGCGCTGTGCGCGAGATCCCGGACCACATCTGTTCAACGACGACTAGAGCGGGAGGCAGCGCGCAGGCGTATCTCTTTTCGATGTACGTGGAAGTGGCAGTTACGGCGTCTCAGATCTCAGGCATGGTGATGTGGCGGGAATTCGTACGGTGGGAGGTGACACGCTTCAGCAACCGCAGGTAGACGGGGGTGCGGAGAGGGAATCCAAGGGAGCGTTCCACGAATGGGGCAGAGCGCGTCACGCGCGTCGTGGAAGCGAAGAGCGATGATCGTGGAACGCGGGCTGCGCAGCATGAAAAACCAATGAGCAAAGGCATGAGATGCGAGCGCAGTGCAACTCACCTTAAGCCTGCGCTAGCTCGCTGCCGTCCGTACCCGCTGCAGCGAGCTAAGAGCGGGTGGCATCCCGGAAAGCTGCGACTCAGATTGCGCGGTGGCGAATCTTCGTGCATGTCGCACGGACCACATTCCGGCTTGACCAGGAGTTTGTATTGCGTGGTGGGAGGGTGAAGAGACTCGGCCCACTGCTAGAGTAGAACAGCTGAGATGTGTTGGCGTAAACGAGAAAGAGAAAGCCGAATAAGCGCGGGTTGATGCCATCAAGTGATCCACGTCGCGCGCCGCGCAGCGGCAGCGCCCAAAAGGCACGCTGAAGGTTACCTTGCTCTTTTTACTGAGCTTCAGATGCACTGTGCCCCGGCAGTACACTTGCTCCAGGATGTGGAGGATATATGGGAATAGCCCTAGGTAGTACGCTGGACCTCGGCGCGGTCGCCCGAGTGGGTGACCTGGCCGCTTTTAAGCCGAGCGGTCACCCGATTCGGGTGACCGGGTCGATCAAAATTCTCCTCTGTGCCGAAGTTTACACTTCATTATTTCTTCCCATGCATATGTAAATTTGACTGAGATGTCCATATGAGATGTGAAATTGGAACAACCTCGATTCTTCGAAAAAGAAAACAATCAAGTTCACATGTCCGTGCGCGACACCTAGGCGACACCGTGTCGCCGTGTCGGCGACGCGGCGACGTGCCAAGACCGCCATCTCTCACTGTAATTACGGTTTACATCAATCATCGCAACTAGACAGACAGGATTTGTATTCTGATCTATATCATCCATATGCATGCGTATTCCTTCAAAAGGACAGCCCGCTGTGTGTCGGTTTCCATTCTCTTCATCTTCATCCTACCTCTGTGAGGGTTTAATACTTCCATTCCTTAACGACCATCGTTCATTTACACATCAAACTTACCACCATGGTTCAGCAACTCAGTGCCGTTCTCATCCTCATCTTCCTCGCCCTTCCCTTCGCCGCCACGGCGCAAATCTCCACCAACTCCACGAAGTGCGCGACTCCCATCCGAGACGACTGCACTTTCTACACGGAGTGCCTAGAAGCGAAATACCAATGCGGTGCTGACGGTTACCCCCTCGCGTACGGCTTCCACTTCTGCACCAAGTTCGCAGAGTCCAGGTCGAAGCTCTCTGCAGAAGGTCAAGAATGGATGTTGGACACCATGCTCTGCCTGCAGAACGCCCTCGTTCCAGAGGCCACAGGCGCAGTCGGGGCCGCAGCGACGTGCGAGGACCTGAAGACGAAGGCGTTTGCGACCCACGCGGGCTGCTACGTCGACAGCGGCCTCTGCGACCTGCCGTTATCGGATATGGAGAAGGTGTCGTTCGAGATCGTGGGGCCCGGGACCCTCGTAGACAGCGTCGATGCACTCAAGGCTACTGCCAGCGTGGCGCTGAAATGCACCGAGTTCTTCCTGTCGGCATTCGGCGATGCAATTTGGCCGTTCAAGATGAGGCGTGTCACCAGGCGCAATTTTCTCTGAGGTGCGGTTTTCGACATGGCCTCGTCGACCATCGCTTATACTGTTGCAGATTTCCTCAATCTGGGGCGATCTTTTTCGGATGTTAGTATATTCGATCCCCTTGACGGTCGGTGGTCTGTAGGTCGAATGCAATCTCTGGGTTCAAGAATCAACCCATGTATGACTGTATCCCTGCTGTTCAACTTTACGTCGTGCCAATAGTATCCTTGCCATTCTTCATTAACACTTAGACCTTGTTCTAGGGATACTATCGTACATGCATTTGCCCGGGGCAAGATCTCCTGAGGGATAGCTGATGGGATATTCGCTACGACGTTATGAATTCTCTGCTGACTTTGTGCGTGCTATTAGTATAGGGTTGTTGGAATGTTTGCAATGCACGTGATCGTGATTCTCCCTTGCAGTGGTTGAAATATTCGGGGGAGTCGGAGTCAGAGTCCCCGGCCCCCGGGGACGAGGTCCTCGCAGAGCTCAATTCATTGGATGAGCCGGAGGCTGCTCGAGTCAGCGGCAACCCAATGCTCCCTTTCCCCCCCCCCGTTCCTCCTTACATAAATTGGATGGCATTGAAAGTAGCACACATCTCGAGGAACCATTATTCCTCGAGACGTCCTCCGCCGATCCCGCCGGGACTAGCCGCACGTATTCCAATTGTCTCCGAGATACCATCGTGCATACCGGGGATTCGTTTGATGCTTCGTGCCTTCCAACATAAGTTCGACTTGGAGTGCTCAGGGCAGAGGGAACGGCCTGGAAATTTTTCACCCCTCGCTGCATGGATTGAGTGGTTGAACCGCAGCATTTCCTTATGTGCTCGATCGTGGCTCTTAGCGTGCGCACAAAAATAGATTAAATATGTACTCAGTGAGTACAAATGATACTTAGAATTCAAAGAACAAAACTCAACATCGTCTGTGCTTGAAAACCAGCAAACCGTCGTCGCCTTAGGGCTCCGACTTCCAGCTCGTACATGGTGCCGCCTAAAAACTGTCAAGTTCTGGTGACGCAACAGTCTCCATAAGAACGTGGTCCGTGCACGCATTTAGTGCGCGCACAACTCCGCGCAGCACCTGGGTACCATTTTTATCTGACCGCCGAGTGCCAGCGCATATCGTCCACCATGTCCAAAGCAGTAGAAGCAGGACTGAGCCCAGCTCGTGGAGTGCCGCCGCAAAATACGGTTTTCCGCGCCGCCCGACAGAGGGCGGGGGCGGACTATCCGGTGCCGCTGACTCCCCTTAGGCGCCGGGAGAGTGCTGCCTCTGCACGTCCGTCCCGCGCGAAGATCACCCCCTGGAGGGTCTTGAACACCGTTGTAGTGCTGGTATTAGGGACCTACAAAGCCACGGTGACATACCTTGGACAGACAACAGCACCGACAACGGTAGACTAGATTACTGGTGTCGTTTGGACATTAATGTGCGTGGAATTGGTCGGGTGATAATGCATTTTAACCACCTGTGAAGTTGTTACTGGGTTGGCGTTTATGAACAGGAGAATCCGGCACTGTCTGCCAGATGGTTCTTCGCGTACGACTTGGCAAGAGTCCTGGGCATCGTACTGATTGGCTTCCTTGGTGCATTGCTGGGCACCATCGCGTTAACCGGTGATGTATTCGACATCAACTGGCACAACCGCTAACTTTTCCTCAGTCATGCTATTAGGCCCCCAACAGGAAAAATCCTTGAACGATGGGGTGCAGAAATTGAGCGTCGCGCACGGCAGCTCGCCAGATTTTCCCGCTGAATTTTGTCGCCAACTGGAAGAATCCTTCGACGCCGATTCCCGCGCTCTTTGTGACCACAAATCCTTCGACGCCGAGGTGCAAAAACCGACCGATTCGCCTGACCGCTCGCTCCATCCCACCGCTTGCGGTGTGGGCTCCAACGGAGTACATAAATTGAGGGTCATGCCCGACAGCTCGCCAGATTTTGAATTTTGCGGCCAACTGGAAGAATCCTTCGACGCCGATTTCCCCACTCTACTTTGCGACCACAAATCCTTCGACGCCGAGGTGCAAAAACTGACCGATTCGCATGATGGCTTAGACTCGCTCATTGTCACCGCTTGCGGTGTGGGCTCCGAGTCCACCCAATGGCCGGCGAATTGCTCCGTCCATGGGAGCTCGCCCGATTCCCGCGTTTTATCTTGCGACCAACTGATAAAGATAGAATCCTTCGACGCTGAGGTGCAGGAATGGAGCGCCCCGCATGGCAGCTCGCCCATTATCCCCACTTTCACTTCGAATTCGAGCTTCACCGAATGGCCCTCAACCACGGGCCTTGGGTTGGACGCGTTCGTCAAAGGTGCAGACTTCAATTGGATGCCTCTGACCATTACGGTTGGGCTGATGCTGCCGTTCTGGGTCATGGTTGCGAGTGAGTGATGGGCTCATCATACTTTACACTCACGCTGACAAGAAAGAATTCGGACGGGCTCCGAAGGGAGTCCGTCAGACGCTTTGATGTCGACTGTATGATTCATTGGAATTTAGTACATATCGCGCTTGGGTTCATCGCCCTGCCTAGAGGCTTTACATAGAATCATAAATTATAAGTAGATACCTTGGTCCAGCGTGTATGTTTATTTGAGGATTTGCGCAGCAGCCGCTCGAGTGCTCTGTTGAGTGCGCAAATCACGGTTGAGTGGTGGGCTCGTTGTGATGAAACTATTTCAGGGTTGCAATTCTCACACTTTTATGTGAGCATCACAATAGTCGCCTTGTCGAGCCAGACAGGAGGCTTTAGTAAACGAGAAGCTCGCATGAAATTAACCGTGAATCAGGTCGTATCCTGGGGCCACCTCAATGCTTGCCGTATCATCCCACCAAACTTACACACATCCCCAGGTGAGCTTCATCCCGCGTACAGACTCGGTGGCGGATGGTCCGCGTCTACACCCTGTGATCTTGGAGAAGTCTGCGCATGCAGGTGCAGAAGTCGCCCGTTCGATCCGGGCCCGAGTCATGTTCCTCCATAATGTGTTTTTTTTATCTGTAGGAATAAGAGGTATGAAATTGGGACAAGGTCCGCAGTGCGACCTTGTTCAGAATGTTGAACAATATGCATTGCGGATGCAGTCCGCGCATCCGTTACACAGATGAGCCGCAACGGCAATTATGGGCAGCTGACCCACCAATGTCATATGGCATCGGACCAAGCAAGGACCTCGGAATAATAGGCGAGAAGGCCTGTTTTTTTTTTTGGCCAAATGTCAGGACACGTTTTAGGGTTTTGTCAGGATTCTAACCAGGCCTAAGAGGCCAAATTCGGCCCAAAATGTCAGGAATTCCGTATCAGGCCGATTTCTTCACCTGGATTTGCCCCGAATAGGCCGTCCTGAATTTTTTTCTCCCGCTGGTGCGGTTTTGTCAGGATTCGGACCAGGCCTTGGCGCCCTAAAAACCGATGTTGTCAGGATTTCGACCAGGCCAATCCGCAAAAATTTCAAAATTTTGTCAGGATTTACATCAGGCGTTCCCACCTATTATCCGAGATCCTACCAAGCAGATGAGCCGCAACGGCGAACATGGCAGCTGACGGACAATGACGTATGGCTTCAGACGGATAGACACTCGTAATTTTATAACGAGGAAGTATAGAATCCCGCTTTTCCTGATCCCGGCGGATCAATTCTCTAGATAAGGAAGGTTTCTGTACAAAAATAGTCTTTGACTCTCATAAGTCTCTCACGCATAGGTCTGCTGATACAGCGGGCCGTTTCCCCAAACGCTATCAGAATTCGAGCTGGTCACACCACCAAGCATCGGCACAATGGCGAATGTACAAATAACCCTCCAATGTCATCGACGCTGGCCACCGCGCCACTATGATGCTCAAACTCCTCCACTACTTCCTCTTCACCAGCCTTGTCGCAGCGGAGAATGGCCGAGAAGCATGGCTGCGTTACGCACCATTGCCTCAAGGCCATAACACACCACTTCCTTCGTCAATAATTGCTCTCAATTCCAGCACAAACAGTCCTGTCAATACGGCAGGGCAAGAGCTGCAGAAGGGTGTCCAGGGAATTTTTGGCAAGCGACTCAGTGTTGCAAACACTGGGAAAGAGACCTCTTCAGCTGTTGTTGGTACCGTTTCACAGTTTCAGAAGGCTTTTGGGAGCAGCCCCGTCAAAGACACGCTAGAAGAAGATGGATTCTGGCTTAATGTCAAGGGTAGCACGGTACAGATTCTCGGACAAAACGAGCGTGGTGCGCTATACGGTGCTTTCGAGTACCTATCCATGCTGGCACAGGGAAATTTATCCAATGTCGAATATGCGACGAACCCAGCTGCATCAGTTCGTTGGATAAACTCATGTGAGTCGCCAATTTTCTGATGGGGCCTGCTAAAGCTGAGGCCGACCTGCCAGGGGACAACATGGATGGAAGCATCACCCGTGGCTTCGGTGGCAAATCAATCTTCTTCGCAGACGGACATGTCGTATCCGACCTGACCCGTGCCTCAGAATACGCCCGACTCTTATCCTCCATCCGAATTAACGCCGTAGTTGTGAACGACGTCAATGCAAACTTCACCACTATCAACCCAGAGAACATCCAAGGTGTCGGTAGAATTGCGGACGTGTTTAGACCATATGGTATCCAGCTTGGATTGTCTCTTGACTTTGCGTCTCCGATGGAACTTGGGAATCTCAGTACCTATGACCCGTTGGATCCTGGGGTCATTGCGTTCTGGGATGATATCACCAAGCAAATCTATGACAGAATCCCAGATTTCGCAGGGTATCTGGTCAAAGCAGACAGTGAAGGTAAATGGCTCACTGTTCCAACCAGTGTTATGCTCATGTCCATGGTGATTAGGCACTCCCGGTCCCTTGGTATACAACCGTACTCTCGCCGACGGTGCAAACCTCTTTGCCAAAGCCATCAAGCCATTTGGCGGCATAGTCATGTACCGCGCCTTCGTATACAACCAACTCCCAGACGAAGGCGACTGGAAAGCCGACAGAGCCAATGCCGCCGTCGACTTCTTCCAACCTCTAGACGGTCAATTCGACGACAATGTCATCGTTCAGATCAAATATGGTCCTATCGATTTCCAGGTCCGAGAGCCTGCGTCACCGCTGTTTGCCAACCTACTCGAGACGAATACGGCTATCGAGCTGCAAGTTGCGCAGGAGTATTTGGGTCAGCAGTGCCACCTTGTGTATCTCCCACCGCTGTGGAGGACGATCTTGGATTTCGACCTCCGAGTGCAGAACCAGTCGTCGCTCGTGCGGAATGTTATCACCGGCGAACGGTTTAAGCGACCACTTGGCGGCTCAGCAGCTGTCGTCAACGTCGGGCTCAACGATACCTGGCTGGGAAGTCATCTCGCCATGGCGAACCTATACGCATATGGACATCTAGCATGGGATTGGACGAGCGATTCCGAGGAGATCCTGCAAGATTGGACTCGTCTCACATTCGGTCTTGACAAGACAGTTATCGACACAATTACTCAGATGTCGATGGCTTCTTGGCCTGCATATGAGAATTACAGCGGAAACCTCGGGGAGCAAACCCTGAATGATATCCTTTATACGCACTTCGGTCCAAATCCTCAGACGCTGGATAATACACCTTGGGGTCAATGGACTCGGGCAGATCATAGGAGCATCGGGATGGATCGTACGGTGTCGAATGGGACGGGGTTTTCAGGGCAGTACCCACCAGAGGTGGCTGCGATGTACGAAAACATCGAGACGACGCCCGACAATCTCCTCTTGTGGTTTCATCATGTCAAGTATACCCAAAAACTGAAATCCGGGAAGACGGTCATCCAACACTTCTATGACGCACATTACGAAGGAGCCGAGACTGCTCAGAAGTTCGTTACGATGTGGCAATCATTAAAAGGAAGGATTGACGATGAACGCTTTGAGGATGTGCTTTTCAGACAGGTCTTCCAGGCTGGTCACTCGATTGTGTGGAGAGATGCTATCGTCAACTTCTACAACACTATCTCGGGCATACCTGATGATGCCTTGAGGGTAGGCCACCATCCTTTCCGGATCGAGGCGGAGAGCATGGAGTTGAGTGGGTACCAGCCATACGTTGTAAGCCCATTCGAAGCGGCGTCCAATTCGATTGCCATCGTCACAAGCACCAACAGTACAATCGGGACGGCGACAAAAGTTCTCAACTTTACCTCTGGGGTATACGACCTCGCTGTTGGTTATTTCGACATGTACGGTGGCAACAGCAGTTATCAAGTCTTCGTGAATAACCGGATGGTCGGAGAGTGGGTTGGGAATATTGTGGATATTGGGAAGCTCGGACATACGCCATCCATATATTTGGATGGGCATTCGGCGACGAGGATCACGTTCCCCCAGGTGCCTATCAAGAAGGGCGATATGCTGGAAATTGTGGGGCAGGCGAACGGCGCTGAACCAGCACCGCTTGACTATGTTGCTTTGCTGCCGGCTGGTGTGATCGATTGAGGCGGAATCTCCCTCCCAAAAAATTACTGGTTGTTTGTGTTGATAGTATTCTTCAATTCATTTGTATGTCTAGTCCATTCAAAATATAGATGAGTATACAAATGTACGTACAGAGGCAGGTTTGAAGTTGCGCCAATTGTCATTGAACCCGCCTTCTTTCTCGGTCCTATGATACTGTTTCAGTCCGGCCGCTCACTGAAAGAAGTACTTAACAGATGCCTTCCAGGGTCAGCTGCAGAACAGTTATTCGATGTCTCTCCGACGTGCTATTCCCATTTTTCCTGTCGCTTTAGCCGCCTTCGCGGCTGCCCCCACGACACTCGCTCTCAAGGGACCATTTCACTGCCATTCAATGCGTCGTCCCTATGGAGTCAGTCTCTCGCTAGTTTCAGCATTGCAACCGCATTTTTCATCGAATATCTCGGGAACATGACCGACCCAAACACATTGATGAGGAATCTGCTCCAAAACCTGAAAGATCGCACCGGTACGCCTGCAGAAATTCGTATTGGCGGTATTACCGCGGATTCGACCTACTGGAATGCATCTCTGTATACCGCTCTCTTGAATTTCATCGACAACAGCGGCACGCTCTTCAATACCACGATTGACCCTAAATTTTGGGAGGCTGCTGCGAGTCGTCTGCCTGACGACACCAAAATCACCATGAACTTGGCAAGATCTGCTTTTTCCAGAAATTTTGTAAACAGCATGTTCATAGGAACTACATGACTTCAGTTTTACGGGAGCCTACAAAACCACGGCGACATACCTTGGACAGACAACAGCACCGACAACGGTAGACTGGATTACTGGTGTCGTTTGGACATTAATGTGCGTGGAATTGGTCGAGTGATAATGCATTTTAACCACCTGTGAAGTTGCTACTGGGTTGGCGTCTTCGAACAAGAGAATCCTGCACTATCTGCGGCGTGGTTTTTTGGGTACGACTTGTCAAGGGTCCTGGGCATCGTACTGATTAGCTTCCTCGGTGCACTGCTGGGCACCATCGTACTAACCGGTGAGGTTTCTGATAACCACTGCAACAACTGCTAAAGTGCTCATTGGTGACACTACTGGGCCCCCCAACTGGACAAATCCTTGGACAACGGAGTACATAAATTGAGGGTCACGCTCGGCAGCTCGCCCGATTTTCCCGCTGAATTTTGCCGCCAACTGGAAGAATCCTTCGACGCCGATTTCCGCGCTCTACTTTGCGACCACAAATCCTCCGACACCGAGGTGCAAAAACCGACCGATTCGCATGACGGCTCGTTCCGCCTCACCACTTGCGGTGTGGACTCCACCCAATGGCCGGCGAGTTGGATGCCTCTGGCCATTACGGTTGGGCTGACGCTGTCGTTCTGGGTCATGGTTGCAAGTGAGTGATGGACTCATCATACATTTACCCTCATGCTGACTCGTAGGCAAGGGCATCGGCGCGCTGCAATCACCTCATCACTGCACAAAAAAGAATTCGGACTGGCTCCGAAGGGAGTCCGTCAGGCGCTTTGATGTC